AGTTCCCCGGCCAAGGTTCCGAAGCCTGCCGCGAAGCCTGTCGAGGCCAAGAAAGCTGAGAATGGATCAAAGGGCAAGAAGGAAGCTGAGGCGTCGTCTACTGAGAGCGAGAAGCCAAAAGCTACTCGACGGGCGTCAAAGAAGGCCGAATAGACTGTTAATGTACAATAATTTAATTACCCCTTCGGTCGGCTTCTAAACATGGAGTGTAGGGTTGGAATTGGGTTTTTTTTCTGTTTCTTTCTTGTTTTGGGATGTTACGGCGATGAAATGTGGTGATGCGCGATGGGGGTTCTTTCTGTTTTCCGGATTTTATCATAGCATTTTTCTTTCTGGTTTTTCTTGTCTTTCCAGTTGAGGCCCGTTCGCTCTCAGCTTGTAGCTTTAGGTTCGCGAGCGTTCAAAAGTTATAAAAGTAAACTTCCAACAATTGTATAAATGTCCCAAGGTGATGTGTGCAGATGTGTCTGAGTGTAGAGATGCTGTGTCTCTCTTGTTGTTGGTGAATATATACTCTAACCAACCTTCCGTATATGGTAAACATCCTGGGGAATCATTTAAGCTCGGCTCTCATACTCTAGCCCTACAACGACTAGCCCTACAACGAAAAGTGTCTTGTAGGAACTGAGTATTCTTAAAGCTCTAGAGTTTATGGACCGGATTCGGTTACTACTTGCTCTCACCAGCTGCTGACTCTATGACTGGGAGGAAATTTGTTAAGGTCGAATCAAATCCAGCAATTAAACTACACTTGGTTCTGTGCTCTCCCCATGTAAGTCCAATGCTGAACCTTCTCTCCCAGTCGCATCTGAGAGACTAGACGTAAGCAAGACTGCCCTATCACCATATATACCACGATGGAATTCTTGAAATAGAGGTGGTGGGTACAGGCAATTGTAGTGTTGGTGCATGTTGTTTTCTGCGGACTTGCTACTTGTTCTTATTACTATGTCAAGACAACGAGTTCAATTAGTTGTCTGATAAATACGTGTTCTCTGTTCACTATAAAAGGAGCTTATTCCTTCTATCTGAATAGCTGTATAATCCTTTTATATAGGCCTGCACATGCGGGGGTTCTATTGATCAGGGCTGTCTTGACCCACTTGTAAGTCGTCCTATTTATTAGAGTATATGTGTGGATCTAACCATGGAGTGTCCTATCCATCGAGAGGCTGCTACACCATATCCGTCCCAATTGTCATTGCAAATACCGCCGCACCACGATGTCATATACTACACGCCTTTGTGTATTATTTGGTCTTACTACTTGGTGCACCGGAAAGTTGGTTTATATGAGAGGTCAACTGCAACCGCAGGCCCGTCGATGTCCAAGACTTGACTTATTAGGAGCTCCACGCGCCACCTGTGTCTTCTATCGCTGATACGATGGATCATATACATGCATGAGGTAAATGAAGTATTGCTGAAGTAGTATATTTATTTCCTGACACCACGGCCGCTGATATATACCGCTTCATGCAGTTATACATGAATCAATCAAGCAAGACTCTGGACTATTCGATGAGTCTCGATGTGTACGGTACGTACCAAGCGAATCTGAGTAATGGAGTAATCAATCAATCAATACCAAAGGAATCTGGGACAAACACGTGATGCTAGAATTTCCTGCATAATTGATCATTGTCACCTATTATTAAACCTACACACATTAAACCCGTTAACTTCCAACCCAACGTCGTCCCTCAAGTAAGCTTGCTCCTATCATACTGATCCGCATCTTCACACCAGTCAGTACACACTCACCACTATCAACTCACCTAGGACAAAACTCACCTGGATGCACCCTCGGCTCCACCAGCTCCTTCCTCAACTCCCTCTTCCTCGCACTCTCCACCCCCCACCTCTCATCCCTCTCCTTCATTATCTCCTCCAAATGCGGCGACATCTCCGTCGTCGCCATCATCAGCTTCGGCTCCCCCATCGGCAGCCTATCCCCGCGGTCCACCTGCCACAGCTGGTACGTCTTTCCATACAGCTTTATCACGCTCTCCATATCCTTCGTCTCCGCCTTCTCCCACAGCGCCAGCGGCACGCCCTTGGGGCACGGCAGGATCAGCTGCCCGGACTTGACCTCAAACACGTGCGAGTGCCACAGCACACGCTCGGCCGCCGGCAGCGTCTCGTAGAGCGGCGGCGTGATCATGTATTCGATGCCGATGAGGCGCGCATTGGGCTCGTTTGAGTCGTAGAGGAGGCATTGGCGCACGTCTATTATTGGGTTAGTGTTGTGTCATGGGTTCTCACTCGGTGGGAGGGGCAGGGGGAGAGGGGACGGACCGGAGGAGAGGTGGGAGCAGTAGTGGTTGGTCTCGACTTTGCGCGAGGGGTCGTCGGCGTAGATGTGGAATGCGTTGAGGTGGGCACAGATGTTCTTGACGGGTGCGAAGTCTTGGGTTATGCTGGTGGCGGTCTCGAGGATGGAGTCGCCGGTGGGGACGGGCCCGCCGGGGACTTTGGGGTCGGTGTCGTGTTTGGGGCAGCTGGTCATTTTGCGGTGTTCTGGGTGAGTATTATATTTTGGAGTTTGGGAGAGTGTCGAGGTGGGTGGGGGCAGTAGCCTAGCTGGTGCGGCGGGGCGAGGGTCTTGATATAGATTGTGAATAACTGACGTCATACTGATGGAAGGGGGTAATGATTGCGAACCCTGGTTTTTAGGTCACGTATATTAGATTAATGTAGTAGACAAGCATGCATCAGCATCAGTGGAGTAAGAGCGGTAGGCACAACAGCCGGTAATTTATTCAACAAGTCATAAGAAGAAAATACTACAAAACACTTTTCCGCAAAGACAAAAAAAACACATTAGAGACCCAACCCAATAGTTATCTACAACACAAAAAGGAAGAGGAAAAGGAAAACACTGCCCCCCTCTGTAGACTACTACTCCTTCGCAATAATCATGCTCTCCCTCGCCGGCACCCTCCTCATCTTCCCCTTCTTGCTGTGCCTCCTCTCGTTCTCCTCCCTCCGCTTGATGCTCGCCTCCTCGACCTTCTTGATCTCGCCCGCCTTCTTGATCGTGTTCGGCACATGCCTGTGTCGGGCGATCCTGCGGATCTCCGGCATGTGCTTGTAGCGCTCCTTGAGGGCCGCGTCATACTCGAGCTTGACACGCTCCTTTGCGGAGCGCACGTGCGAGCGCGCGGAGGCCTCGGCGCGCCACAGGCGGATGTTGCCGTCGTCGCTGCCCGACAGGATGTAGCGCGTGTCGGTGGTGAAGGCGGCGGAGAAGACGCGCTGCATGCGCTTGGTGTGGTAGACGTCTCTGGAAACGGTCAATGATCCGTTAGCAAGCCACACCCAGATGCAGATGCAGATGCAGATGTGGATGCAGATGTGGATGCAGATGTGGATGTAGATTGGGGGGGATGCATACCTCGAGTGCCCCTCGCGGGCCTTGAAGATCCTAATGGTCCTATCATAACTCCCCGTCACCAGCTCCTCGCCCGTCGGCGAATAGTCCACATCCATGACGGCCGCCACATGGTCCTTCAAAATATTCAGCGCGCGGCCCAGCTTGCGCATGTCCCACACATAGGCGTTGTGGTCCTCGCTGCCCGTGGCCAGATTAAACGGCTCCATGGGGTTCCAGCAGACCGCATTCGTGCGCAGCGCCGTGACCACCTTGGCCACGGGGCTCTGCGTGCGCAGGTCGTAGAAGATCAGCGTGCGGTCCGTCCCCGCCGACGCCAGCACGCTCGTCTCGCTCTGGTTGAACTTGACCGTGTTGATGGTGTCCACGCCCCAGTTCATGCTCGCCACGGGCTTCGACCGCGTCGCGTCCCACACCTCGATCGTGCTGCCGGCCGTCGCGAACGTGGACTCGGCGCGGTGGTGCGTCACGCCGTTGAAGGCGCCCGCGCCGAGGTAGGTCGCCACGGGGACGTTCCCGGCGTCTGCGGCGGCGTAGGGGTCCCACAGCTTCACGGTGCGGTCGCTGGCGCAGGAGAGCAGGCGCTGGCTCTCGCCGGCGAGGTTCGTGAAGCAGAGGCCCTTCACGATGCCGTCGTGGGCCTTGACGCTGCGCAGCTGGGAGCGGTCGGCCAGGTCCCAGATCTTGACCTCGCCGTCGCCGGAGCCGGAGGCGACGCGGGAGAGGGAGCGCGGGTCCTTGGCGAGGGCGTAGACGCCGTCGATGTGGCCGTCGCCGAGCTGGGCGAGGAAGGGGGCGGCGAACATGCGCTCGAGCTTGGTGGCATTGAGGGCGCGGGTGTATTCGCGGGCCTTCTCGAAGGGGTGGAGCTCGGGGTTGAGGTTGCGGGGCTGGACGGTGGAGGTGCTGCCGGGGGGGGCGTAGGTGGCGGCGGAGCGGGAGAGGGCTTTGACTTTCTAAGGGTGGGTTAGTGGGGTGTGTCTGTCTATGGCGGGGGAGAGCTGGAGAGAGGGGGGACAGACCATGATTGTAGAGGGGACCGAAGAGGTCGAGGTGAGGCTTCTAGAGCTTGTGAATTGATACTGTAGAGGGCGTGGTGGAGGTGTGGAGTTGTGTGGAGTTGTGTAATTGCGGAGTTGCGATAGTTGTTGCGCTCTGGTGTTGAGGATGAAAAAAGATGTTGTGGGTTAGGGTTGCTGGCTGGCTGCTAGCAACGCTGCGTGCGGGAAATGATCGTTATTGCAAGAACACGGTACTCTAGTTATCGAAGCAGGATTTAGTTGAAAATAAGATAAATGTTAATGCCCGGACAGGCTACAGTGCCCGGATTTAGATCCTTTATTAATGTATCTAATTATTATACTTCGATAGTAAAGACAAGCTTAAGTGTTGTATTCGGCAGCCCTAATAACTAGAATTCCAAACAATAACTTTAAGAACAATCACTCCAAGTCCCAGAGTCTGATACTGTTAATGCTTGTATATTTCTAACCCGCCCACAATGTATATTTACAATTTTTACATCCCGTGAGCAACAATACCGGGGCCATCCCCTCTATCCCCAACCTTATCCCCCCCTCCCCTCCCATCCCTCAAATCCCCCAATCTACACCTCCCCCCCCGCCGCCGCCGCCGCAGCCGCCGCAGCCACCACCGGCGCGTTCTTCACGACCAACTCACTAATCCTCAGCACCGTATACCGATGCTTACTCTTCACCTTCTTGATCCTGCGATTCCTTCTCTTCGTCTTCTCCTTGACCCTCATGGGCTCGCTCGTCTCCTCGACCACCCTCGCGCGGCACTCAAACAGCGCCGGATCAATGTACGGCGACCCCTTCAGCGTGTAGTCGCGCGACCCCAGCACGCTCGCGTGGGTAATGCGCAGCGAATCCCCCACCGCCGCGTCCTTGAGGCGGAACGGCAGCCGCACGAGGTCCCCTACGGTCACGAGGAAGGGGAACTTGTGGATGTGGATGGTGATGTATTGTGACGGCTGGGCCTTGAGGGCCGTGAGGAGGGCGAGGGTGGGGTGTGGGGTGGTGGCGGCGGCGGCGGTGATGTTGAGGGTGCCGGTTTGCTGCGGGATTGGTGGGGTGGGGGTGGGGGTGAGGGGGGTTTGGGAGAGGTTGTGGAGGTGGGGGGTGGTGGTGAGGCCCCGGAGGAGGGTGCGGGTGGTGGTAGTGGTGGTGGGGGCGAGGGCGGGGGTTGTGGGCAGGGCGGCGAGGGGCCGCAGGGAGCGCTGGAGAGCCCGCAGGAGCATGGTGGGTGTGTGGAGGGCGCGCGGGAGGTGTGCTGGTGCGGCGGGTGCTGTGCAATTGGTGATAGTGGGATTTCGAGGTGTTCTGAAAATAACGGATTGCCCACGATGGATGTTGCGTGTTACCCTGCCAGCCCCGCGTAGCAGCACAGGTTGCTGCCCCACGTTACCCGGCGCCCACCAGGCCCAGCTTTGGGTGATGTCTCACAAAAACATAAAAATACTTTCGCATCACCAGAACTCACCCACTCTGAATACATTCCCCTCCAACCACCACCACCACCACAACCACACCTTCACACCTTCACACCTTCACACCTTCACACCTTCGCTCCCACCACCACCACCACCTCCACCAAACCCCACAAACCCCAACCCCCCCCACCGCCCACAATGCCCAAACGAAAAGACCTCCAACCCATCTCCGAAGACACGCCCATGGCCGACTCCGACTCCGACTCAGACACCGAGTCGCTCGACATCGTCAACGTCGACTTCGAGATGTTCGACCCGCAGCCCGCGCACGACTTCCACGGGCTCAAGACGCTGCTGCGCCAGCTCCTCGACGCCGACAACACCCTCTTCGACATCTCGGCGCTCACGGACCTGATCCTGTCGCAGCCGCTACTCGGCACCACCGTCAAGGTCGACGGCAACGAGAGCGACCCGTATGCGTTCCTCACCGTCATCAATATGCAGGAACACCATGTCCGTCCCCCCCCCCCCCCCCCTCTCCCCCCTCTCCCCAGAAGCTAACACCCAGCAGGACAAACCGGTGATCCAGCAGCTCCGCGACTACCTCATCTCCCGCGCGCCCGCCGACCTCAAGACACAGCTGCAGACGCTCCTCTCCCCCGCGGCCGCCACGCACACGGGCCTCATCCTCACCGAGCGGCTCATCAACGTGCCCACCGAGATCGTGCCGCCCATGTACAAGATGCTGCTCGAGGAGATCACGTGGGCCGTCGACGACGGCGAGCCCTACCGCTTCAGCCACTTCCTGATCGTCAGCAAGACGTACACGGAGGTTGCGTCGAAGCTTGACGACGACGCGCCGCGGGCCGCCAAGAAGGGCAAGACGGGGAAGAAGGGTGGGAAGAAGGGGGGCGGCGGGGAGGTTTTCTACTTCCACCCCGAGGACGAGACCATCATGAGGAAGGCGAAGGCATGCGGCGGCTATGCGTATGTGAAGGAGGCGGATGAGGGCGCGGCGGACAGTAAGCGCGCGTTTGGCGAGTTTGGGATTGTGCCGAGGGGCCATATGATGTTGGTTGAGTGTGCGGCGTTGGAGGGGGTTGTGGGCGATTTGGAGGGGTTGTTTAGACAGTAGGTTTGCGGGGTGGGGTGGGTAATGTAAATAGTAAAAGGGGGATTGCAATTGATTTGTTAGTTTGGGCTTTTTACTTTGCTTTTTTCTGTGACTGGAATTAACAGGCTGGTAATCACAGGGAACGATAGAGCCTTCATTATTTGGTTGTAGTCAAACCAATCGAAAATAGCCAAATGCGGCCAGAGTCAATGATTACCACGACAGGAAAAAAGAACTTTCGGGCACTTATCGGCCTGCAGTGAGATGTGATGATCAATGCAGTGCGTCACCACGATAAGATTAGATAATAGTAGCACTCCCTCCCTCAGTCAGCCAACCAACCTCACCTCACCTATAAGTACCTCTAAAACACACAACTACATACCGCACAAATACAATTACATACACTCAATATATCAAAGGGAATATTTAAAGAAGAGACCAACCAACCGCTGTACAACGAATCGAAAGCTGAGAGGAATAGATATAGTTACAAAAAAAAAGAAAAGACCAACACAACGCAACACAATCTATCACTCGCCCCCCCCCCCCCCCAAAAAAAAAAAAAAAAAGCCTTACCTACACCTTCACCACCGGCGTCCCTGCCGCACCCTTCGTCGCCTCCGCCTCCCTGATCGCCCTCTTGTACTGCCCCGGACTCACAAAGTTAATCCTCGCCTGCTTCCATATGCCCCTCCTCGCCTTCCGCGCCCGCCACTCTGCCAGCCTATACACCTCCTCGAGCTTCCCAAACTCGGCGCCCGTTTTCGCCTCATACCTATCACACCCGCACCACTCATCAGCACACCCCCCCAGTCACCCCCAATCATCCCTCCCACCAATCCCTCCCCTCCCCTCCCCTCCCCTCCCCTAACACAGACACAGAAAGAGCACCTACACCGTCGCCATCCCCCTCTCCAACATCTCCAGCCCCACATCCCTCCTCCACACGCCCCTCCACACCTTCACGCTCGCCACCACACGCTCATACTGGTCGCGCCGGTACACATACACGCGCACATTCCGTCCGAGCAGGTACTCGCGCAGCCACGCCAGCGCCTCGGCCGCATACGGCTGCGCCGCGCGGCCAAAGTGCGCGCCCTCTGGCGCATCCACGCCCGCGATCCTAATATGCAACTATCCCATCCCCGCGTCAGCCCTCGCCCCCGCCCCCCAAAAAAAAACCCCCCAGAGTAGACTTACCGTATCCCTCACGCCGCCCCTGCCCCCCGGCCCCGCCGTGGGGACCTCCCGTCCGGGCAGCCACCCCCAGCCGAGCCAGCGTCCGCCCGGCGTATGGTAGAGGCGGAAGCCGTCGCCGTCGCCGACGGAGGTGACGCGGCCGTAGATGCTGCGGCGGCGGAAGAAGCTGGGGTAGATGCTCGCCGCGTCGGGGATGCGGCGCAGGTGGTTGCGGTAGAGGTAGGCGGCGCCCAGGGCGGCGGTGGTGAGCGTGAGCGTGGGCAGGATGAGCGCCTTGTTGGTGTCCCAGAGCGTGCTTTGGGGGGTGCTTTGGGGGGGCGGAGGGGAGGGAGAGGAGGTCCAGGGCGGCCATTGCATGGTGGTGGGATGGGTGCGGTGGGATTTTTGGGGGGGGGGGGGGGGGGGGGATCTACAGGTGGGTGTGGGGCGTGGGGTGTGGGGTTCGAGATTCAGATTCAGATTCAGAGTTGAGATTCGGATCGATCTGTGAGATGGGCTCACTCGCTGTACTCGCTCAGGTACGGGGCACTGACTGGGGCTGACTGCACTGACTGCACTGACACTGACGCTGAGGGCCAGACAGCTGTGGTTGGTTGTGCCAAGGGAGGGCTCACTCGGCTCGTTCCGTCTGCGTCGGGCATGATCGGCGTCCCCACACCCCGCTCTCTCTGCCCCGGGTGGGTGGGTGGGTGGGTGGGTGAGTGGCGACGACGACACCCGGTATTTGTATTTCCCTCGCCTCTGCAGAAGGGAAGGGGTGCTGGGTAAATAGGATAGGACAGGATGGATGCGAAAAAAGCAGATTCCCGAGTCCCGAGAGATACAGCCATTATCCAGCCCAATTAAGAGGCTTTTCCCCGCACTTTTTACTTGCACACATCACTTGCACTTAATTCCGCTTCTGCTCAAAGTTGCATTTTTCTTCACACCTACTCACAGCAGATAGGAGAAAGCATCCACGGCAAAAAAAAAAGACTGCAGCAGCAGAAAAAAAAATTGCATTAAAAAAACGAACCAAACCCAGCTCCGGCAGCTGTTATTTGTATATTTATAAGTAAAATAAAAATAATAAAAAACGGTTTAGTTGTTTCCCCAGTCCAGTCAGTCAATCCCCGCTCCATCCATGAAAGTCGTAACAAAAAAAGCACAAAAAAAAAAAAAAAAATACCAGATGCATCTTTTGCTATCCTCAAAAGTGAGAAGAAAAGAAAAAAGAGTGGTAGTCCAGAAAGAAACAAAAAACAAAGTAAAAAAAAACGCCATGAGTCCCATAAAGTTCCATTAAACGAGAGCCTGTCGAACAAAACAGTGCAAAAAAAAAACCAGTATGACAAAAAAGGGTTATAAAAAGACAAGAAACGAAGATGAAAAATACAAGCCCAACAATCCACAAAGTAGGAGATGGACGCAGGCGAATCAGATCAGATCAGGTTTTTTTTTTTTTTTTTTTTTGCTTAGGCAAACCTTCTCTGGATCTCAGCATCAAGCTGGGGAGTGATCTCGTCGCTGGTCTTGCCGCGGACGGTCCACAATACACCGGCCTTCTCGTAGTGCTCGAGAAGGGGTTCTGTGGCCTCTGCGTATGCCTTTAGACGCTTGGCAAATGTCTCCTGAAGGGGGCTGTCAGCAACTGTATATAATATATTTATAAAATGGGTACGTGAGGAGAAACATACAGGCTGGTCATCAGAACGACGGGTCAAGGGCTCGCCAGTGATGTCGTCGACACCCGGGTTGATGGGCTTATTCCAGGTGGTGTTGTAGACTCTACCGGAAGGCTCGTGCTAGAGAAAAAACCGTCAGCACAACCTTAAACACCTCAATAATCCCCCATCACGGGATCAAAAGAGACAAAAAAACGTACCACAAGCCTTCCAGCAATCCTCTCCAAAATCACATCATGGGGCACATCCAGATTCACCACCTAAAACAACCCCCATCGTTAGCATGACTCATCCCCATATACCGGAGAGAAACGGGCCACAAACCAAGTTCATCCGAACCTCCTCATCCAGCGACTTTGCCTGGCTCTGCGTCCTGGGGAATCCATCCAGCAGAAAGCTCGCTGAAGGACAATCAGAAGCCGCCGGAGCACCAGGTTTACTAATGACCGATAACGGGCCAGTCAGACAAAGACCGGAGGCCATGTTACCACGAGTCTCCACCCAGCCGCGCTTCGACAGCTCGCCGACAATCAGCTTGACCATGATGGCGTCGTGCACAAGGCCGCCTGACTTCATGATGCTTTCGGCTTGGACACCTATCAACGTAGATTGTTTGGTTAGTTTTTTTGTTTGCCCCCCCCTTTCCTGGGTATATGGAAAACCCGGATGAAAAATATAGGGAAAAAGGAAAGAAAAAAAAGGGAGTTAGTAATTACCAAGTGGGGTTTTCGCCCTGACATTCTGTCGCAGTAGGTCTCCGGATGAGATTGACGATAGTTTGAAGTGGTCCAGCAGACGGCCCGATTGGGTACCCTTTCCGCACCCGGGCGGGCCAACGAGAATTACTCTGGCAGCTTTTCTGAGCTTTCCAAGGGCCATTTGTGGTTGTATGTTTTTGGGTGTTTGGGCGGGATAAAAAAAAAAAAAAAGAGTTGGACTACGACGTCACTTGGTTTTTAAGGATTGCGATACGGATACTCGTACAGGAACAAAGGACGGAACGTGAGTGAGTGAGTGAGTGGGCGGGTTTGGTGGTGTGGGTGCGAGAGTAATGCGAAGAGAGAGGAATTGAGTGACTGGACAAGCTTTATGGGAGAGCAAGATGGCAACGGGGGCAGATACGATCTCGCAGCCGGGACGGGGGGGAATTTAAGCAATTGGAAATCTAGATAGGGTAATATCTCTTGGTAGATAGCATCTAGGTGAAATGTATGTATCTATGGCTAGGTAGATGTCGTCGTAGGTAAGCGGGGGGGGAGTGGATTGTGGTGGTGGCCCTTGTGGGCAGGGAGGGAGGGAGGGTTCATGTTGCTAGATATGCAAGTCCAGATGGATTCAACCCACCCAGCAGTACTCTACCACCACCCACCCCATCCACACCCACCATGTCCGGCGATCTCGAATGAGGCGGAGAAGTTCCAAGCGGGTAGCGAACTGGTTAGATCAGCGGTTTTTGCTGGGGAATGGGCCCACTGCGGGGTGGTCTGTGCACCTCGGTTATTGGGAAAAAAACTGTTGGGTGCAGGAAGAAGAAGCGGGCGGCGTGCGCGCGGTCTTCACTCGGACCCTTCTTTTACTGCTTCTTACCCACCCCTAAACCATCCATCCCCCTCCCCCTCCCCTCTCCTCCCTCTTCCGTTCCCAGCCTTCTAGTACAACGTTTTCGTCCCGCACTTGCAGCCCTACAACTAAACTGTCTCAACAGGAGAATTTTTTTTTGTTGTAGCTTCTTCTACTTCTAGAACTCAACTGCCGAGCAAAAAGGGGGGAGAGAGGCTTGCAAGAAAGAATGCCTGTAACTAGGAGTGCAAGGTCGAGACGACGACGACGACGCCAAACAACAACCACGACGTCGACGAACCCACGATGACCAATATGTTACAATAACCCTGTTAGCAACCACAACCACCACAACCCACAACCACGAACCCAAACTAGGACGATGCTGCACAACGCCCCCCCCCCCCCCCCCCGATGGTGCGGCCGCGTGATTTGATTGCGTTACATCACCATCATCATCACCATCATCATCGACGGTGCTACTCGGGAAAACTCCGATTCGTTTCGTTCGTTCGGGTGTTTGGAGCTATCTATAATTCCGACCAGAGTGTCGGGCTTAGAAAGTCAGCTCCAAATACCGGTACCTTAACTGAGGAAGAAGAGCCCCCATCCCCCCCCGCCAAACTCCACTCGGGTCCTGCAGACATGCTGCACAGACTACTTACTAGCTTACCTCCCCTTCTCTCCCTCCTCCTCCTTCTCACCTCAACCCCCCCCCCCCCCCCCCCCCCCTTCCTTCCAAGCAAGTACTACAAGGTAGATGGATGGAGATCCAAATAAACCTTCCACTAGCTCGGGCTTTGACATCTCTCGGCGTTGATGTGAGCTGGCAAGCTGGGTTTCTCGCCTAAGAGGATCGATAGGTCCGAGTCTGCCCTAGCACCACCATTGGGTGATCTTGCGAATGCAGAACATCGGTCTCATCGGGCATCACCGCACGCGCCGGCCAATAGTCCGCGTTGTAGAAGAATTAGTAACAGTTTTACTTTGTTCTTGACGACACACACTTGTTCTTTTTCTGCGTTTCTTTTCTTTTTGCTAAAAAAGCTTGCCCCTCCATGCCCCCGTCGCACAGCCACAGGGCGGGATCGCTGCGATCTTGACCAGTGATATGAGCATGTATGTTTCTCCAATAGCGCTGGAGTACATCTTGGTACTTGCAGGAACATGGTAATTTGTACATATGAACGTCAGCCAACGACCGGATTGCATTTTCGGATTTTACAGTAATGGCAGCGAAGGAGGAAGAGGAGGAGGAGCGCAATGTTCCAGTATCATGTATGTTTACCCATTTACCCCCCAAATACACACGTAGATAGGGTTGTGCGCTTGAGGAATGTGCACTTTTTTTTACTACATACGTAGAGATGGTGTAGTGTACTCAGTCACGAGGATCATGCTGGATCAGAGTAATATGTGCTGCTCTACTATGTAAGAAGCTGCCACTGCATTATCGTCGACGAAACTAGCTGAGCTGCAACAAAACGTCGGCCGAGAGCTCGAGAAAGAAACCGACTGTGTAAGATCTAGCAATAGCAATATGTAGTCAGGAGAGCTTATCGAAAAGCCCCAATGAGGATAAAACCTGTTCAAATGAAGATGCAGAACGAGATAAGAGTTGTCCAATTCCATCAATTGCACCGGAAGAAGCGCTTCTCGATGGTATGGAGCCAGAGTATATAGTTACATCTGCCTTCCTTTCTAGACATGGTGAACTCATCATTGACTCCGGGTCTGCAACTACCCAATGATATTAGACCATGCATATGGCATAAGACGAGCTAGACATGTAACTAGGGAGGGGACAGCATATGGTCCATGGAGTTACGTTCCGGCCGAAAAGCGGTGACCGGAACACAAAAGACCCAGAACCGGCCGGGCCTTATTCGTGAGAAAATAATATATCATCTATCGGCACTATTTGCAGGGAAAACCCCGTGATTCATGTACGCCTCGTGCGTGTGTACAATCGGAATTGGAGAGCGAGCCTAGACCGCTAGCTGTGCATTAAAGGTTTCAAAGGCCTAGTCTTACATGATGGTTTTTTTTTTGGTTTTTTTTGGTTCGCCATTTTGGCTTTGGTTTTGTTGTGGGGTACGTGCATGCACGGGAGAGGAGGAGTCGGAGGAGAGGAGAGGAGTCTGTGAAATGTGACTTGTCGGGTAACATGTGAAGTTACCATGATGGTACAGGATACCGTGTCATGAGCGGTCACTCGGCTGAGTGTGCGGCTGCTTGCGCTTTACTCTGGTCACACTACATATCTCCGTCTCCGTCTCCGTCTCATCTCCGTCCTTATCCCACCCCCGTCTCCGTGCCCACCGGCCTCCTCTAGTGCTGCAGCGGCCATGTGAAACCCGCTGATCAGAAGCATCCGTTTGTCCATGACCACTTATTTACCCCAGAGGGCCCATGCACACGCCTGCCTAGCTGCACCCCACCACCCACCCTGCCGAGCCCCCGCAGCCGAAACGTTACCGAAACACCGAATGGTGCAATGGTACATCACACCTACGTAGTGTAGTCAGTGAGCTATCACACGAAGATAATAATAAGCATTTTACGTCGGCGCTTCTCGGGTTAGTGGCCCTCGCGACTTCATCCGGTTGGGATTGCTTGGCGCCTGGGCATGGTGTGTGGTGGTGCATGGATTATCACTCGGCGCTAATGGGAGGTAGGGAGGTTAGGCTAATTTGAATGGAGAGGGAGTGCAATGCCGCTTGACGGCTATTTGGGAGCTGGTGGGTGCTGATATATATACAATAGGGTACCTTTATCGGATGGTAAAACGTACGAGACGGGAATGTTGAGTTTGTGGTGTTTTTTTGCTGCATTTTTGCGCACGGAGCTAGAGGTGGGATCCAGGAGATATACATGGATAGCAGTGAGTACATGCAGGTACTACGTTTAGATTAAACAAACGTTAACCCTGTTATAGATATATCTAACATGTATGTACATGTAGTAGTGGTCTTTTTCCCACAGCCATTCGGCATTATCGTTGCTACTGTCGTTCACGGGGTAATAACGGATACTGGGTGTTGACTGATAAGGGGATATTGTCTAATGAGAAAGAGTTGGCTGCGCTGCCTTTCTCTTTTCGGTTGAATCTATCAACACCCAGTATCCGTTATTACCCCGTGAACGATAGTATACTACGTTATTGCTCGTTTACCACGAAAGGAACTAGAAAATATAAGTGATGCAGGTATATAGGGGTGATTTGTATGAGAGAACACCTCCATTCCATACAAGTAATCCTTGCCTTCAACATTTGAGTAACCGTATTTTCTAGTTCTCCTGGTGGTAAATACTGAAAATTCCAACCACATGCTCCTGAGCACGAGATTAATGTGCTGTAGTAGAAGCACAATATAAAGGACGCCTTGCTCTTACACCTTACTAAATGAAAAGCTCTGAGTACGTTACTTAATCTATATATACGCGCATACTTCAGTTGAAAAACTACAGACCCCAATCCTGCGCCAAGGAACCCTAATCATTATAAGGTCTTAACGAATTTTCGCCGACCAAGTGTTCAATCCTCCGCGAAGAGCGTCCAAACTCCTATCCTTGGTACTTCTCAACCCTTACTATAAACCTTAGCTCTTCTTTCCTCCACCACACTTTCTTCCCAAATATATCAATATTAATATTTCATGCTGAGGTTTTGCCGGAGCCGGAGTAAGACCTCAACATACAAAAAGACCTTTTTTTGAAGTCCCCTGCCTCTACAGTTCAAATAAATTTGAACTGGGAATATGGCTTATTTATTAGTTTATTAATCAATTATTTTGGCGGGAAAAGTCTAAAATAACACAGTTTTGGTAGACGTACTCTACAACAACACAATGTGATCGAGCTATCGAATATTAAGGATGGCTGAGCATTGAAATCGAAGGGTTAGGGGTTCTGCTTCATCTTGACACACTGCCAAGCTCAAGTATCACTCCAGCGCAGCATCATGGGCGGGTGGTCTAGTGGTTAGACTGCTCGTCAGGTTAGACACCGAGTGTTTACCCAAGAATCAATATAAGGTCCTGGGTTCAAACTAGGGGTGGGGGTAGTAGCGCACATTAATCAATAAGTCGCTGCAGTACCTTTTGCAGTACCCTTTGTTCTTTTTTTTTCTTTTTTCTTTTTTGAAGTGAAATAAATTAGGAGGCTATTATTATAATCTATAAGCCCTCCCTAAATCGTTCTTCACGACTTATTCGTGTAAACCATGTGCATGCCCATATATTCCGGTCTGTCAAATATTTTGTGCTACAGCTACAAAGGTCCTCCCTCCCTCGTTCTCTAAGGAAGGAACCAAGAAA